ATTTTGCAGAGGGAAGCACTTCCCAAGCAGCTCTTTGGGGCTGGTTTTATCCAAGCATGCCTTTCACAGGAACACACTAAGTATAAGTAGGCTTGTTCTGAATGTTTTTATTTTACTAGCAAAATCCAAAGTATCAACAGAGACATAAGTGTGGCGGGTAAAACTGGGATACGTTCAGCATGTAAGCACGGTGGGTTATAGGGTGAAAGGCTCATGTCCACAAGCATGAAGGAGCACAGAGGTGTGACGGTTGGAGGCACCCCAATAACCTGGTCAGAGACAGAGACACCCTGCTCCTGCTCCTCCTGGGAGAGCATCAGCCCCATGGTGCAGGGTGATACCTGTCACGAGGAATCAAGGGCAGAGTAACCTTGGGGTGGAGGGTCACTGCTGAAGGGTGTGGGACACATCATGGCATGCAGGGGAGGGGTGCTTGGGGATTGCACAGCACTCATGCAGTATCATAAAATGCATACAAAATACTTCAGAAATGCTTTGGGGGGGGGGATGCACCTGAGGTGATTGCTTATGAACCCACAGAGTAAAGAGAGCAAGTCACCAACACGAATAATAAAACCGAATAATTTGAGATGATCCCAGCAGCACTCTAAGAATCTCTGGCTGAATGCAGGTTCTCGTGAGTGGTGTGGATGAAGAACTCGTTCTGCAAGTCTGCAAAAAAAAAAAAGAGGAATCCATTAAAGACAGCTGGCTCGTGGTAAATCTGTCACCTTTCCTTGCTCCTGAAATGATCCACCATACCCACTGACTTCATTTCTCCTATGGGGTTTGGTTATTTGGTGTTTAAGGTTTGGGAATTGGAGCACAGCAAGAGAAAGGCGACTTGCATGATAGCGTGCAGCTTTTGGGCAATTCCACAGCTGGGAAGTCCTGTTGTCCTGTTGCCCTTCCCTGCCATACCTCCAAAACGGGGGTGCAGGACCTGGGGCTGCGTGCACTGCACAAAACATCCCGCTCAAGCCGGCGCACCGGAACCGTACCTGGCAGCTTGCTGTCGAGTTGGTCCCATGGGCAAAAGGCGAGGCTGAGCATGTCGGAGAAGTCCTTCTCCATCATCTTGATGATCTCCACCTGCAGCCATCACATGGCCAAGCACATGAGCAGGGGTCAGGGCTTGGAGCCCCGCACCCCACCGGCCCCCCAGACCCCCCTGTTACTGCCTGTTGGGGCTGAGGAGCTCTCAGATGCAGAGGCGGCAGCTTTGAGCTACTCTAAACCCCAAATCATTACTAATTTGAGGATAGGAGTGATGTAGTTGCCCATTAGGGATGACAACTGCTAGTCAAATTAGATGTTTGTGGGCAGACCCTCGAGTACGGGGCTCAGACCCCACATCAGTGCTTTGAGCCAAGTTGGGTCAACACTGGTGAGCAGCTGTAATGGATTAATGGCATTAACAGCACTTCTGGGCACCACTGGAGGTTACTCCTGCCGCAAAAGCAATGCCAGCAGTGGCCTCCCAGTGTACATGAGAGCCTCCTGATGCCAGCTTCTCACAAGGACATGCCTTCACGTTACCACACACGTGTTCACCAGATCCTTTTTTGGGACGTTATCCTCTACCCCCAAACATTGCCCATGGCTGTAGAGAGGTCCCCGTGGAATAAGAAGGTGCACAACTTAACCTTCAAGTCCTGGAAGTACCTTCTCATGCTCGCCTGCACTTCTTCAGACATTCCCCTTTCCAACTCTCTCTTTATCCCTTGCTAAGGATGGTTTGCATCCTTTTGTAGGCTTGTACTCCACTTTGCCTGCCAGCATCTGCTGGTAAAGTGGCGACTGTCACACTGAGATCTAGACCCAAGATGCCCATGGGGAGGCGGGCCAGTGGTGTGGTTTGGGAAAGGAAAATGCTGTGCTTTACACTGCTGTGTTGGAGGTGACCCATCTCCAGGACACTTTCCTGCTTAGACTTGGCTAACTGGCCCAGAAGTCCATTTTCAGAATTAACTAATCAAGTAATGAAGGTGTCTTCCTAAAGCAAACACGAGTGACTTCTGGATTCTGGGTCTCTTAAGTTTTTCGTTTTCTGAGTATGCCACCTACTGATGGGAAAGGAAGGCAGTAATGAATTCATGAGCTTATGACTTTAGGATGCTAGAGGAGACATGAAGGATGTACTTCAAAGATAGACAAATAACAAGGTATTAATTCTAGAAAAAAATCTATAGTTTACAAGAATTAGCGAATTACATTAAACAGGCAGCTAATTTTCTGTATTTGAGCATGGTCTACTTTGGATTTCAGAACTCCCTCTCAGTTGATGACCAAGTAATCATTTTGCCCGGTGGATTTCTTCCCTGCCTTTCAACAGCCAGACTGTAAGACTGGACTCTTCTTCTGAGGCCATATTGGGGTTATTCTGTAAAAATCCAAAGAACATTCAGTATAAAATGAAGAAGAGGTGAATGGTCATACCTTCATAGCATGGCAGCAGGTCCTTTTCAATGGATATGGTAAGGGAGTGGTAGACTTCTGCTTTCTTCTGGAGGATGGATTTTTCAGTCTCCCTGATGATGAAGTCTGCCTGCAAGAATAACTTCAAATGCTTGCCACCATCACTTTGGTCATAAAAAATGATCTATGCTAACAACCTGATAATAATAATCTCATAAAGACAATCTAAATTAAAGTGTGGCATTCAACAGATGACTGCAACAGTTGGTGCTGGTGGGCATCACCTCTCCATTGTGCTCTGACTTAACATGGAAGATGTCCCTTCCAGCTGAAAATACTCTAGTCTAGTCTACTCTAATGTCCACCTGGGAAGTTTTATGTCTGGATACGAGAACAAGTGCAGGGACTCTGCACCCCCCTCAATATTGTTCTTGCTAAAGACTGGGTGGAACATCTCGCATCTCCCTTGACTGGCTTTTTTTCATCTAAAATGCTTCATGTAGAACCTGTAGATACTCCAGCAAAATGATTATGCAGAGAAGAGCATGAAAGAATTTGCAGAGAAACTGTAAAAAAGCACCCACCTTTTACACCACCAAACTAGACACTCAGTGCAGCACACCATTGGTTGAAAGCATGAGTTTTGAGACATCAATGTTAGTTTAATTTTCCAAGAGTTCAGAGATTCTTGGATTTATTCAGACTAAAGCTTCTCTAAGAAAACCAAGTCCTACAATTTGCAACAGAGGTCCTGAGAGACTTAAACCTTTTCCTCAGAAAGAAATCTTCCCCAAAGTTACTGTCAATAAATGCAGTGTTAATTAATCAGGCTAAAATCAGAGAGCCTGTTATTTAAGACAAACTACAGTCATTCAAATATCAGCTGCATAGGAAGAAGAAGCATTACCACAAAAGCGCATTACAAAGGAGTAGAAATTTATGTGAGTTCATACAGCCTCTTAGCTTCAGATTTGTAGAGTTGTCAGAAACTCCTCTTGCACAGCAGAAATGAAACTGCTGCAAAATCTGAGGCCATATAAAACCGTCCTCCCGGGAAGGTGGCCAGCTCACTCATTTGAATCTTCACCTGCTTCCTCTTCACACTTTTTATCTTTTCAAAAAAACAACCAAACCAACCTTCCTCTGTAGGTTGCCTTCAGGTTGCGTTTTCAAGATCTTGCGTTAAGTTTGAGAGCTAGAAACAAAAAATTCAGTGCTTATACCCCACCTGGTTCCAAGGGCTGGAGACCAGGTAAAACCTCAGCGAACAGGGAGCTTCTAGGAGAAACCACCATGGAAGAGCCACCATGCCTATATTTTTCCCCAAGATGATGCACTTCTTCCAGCATCTCCCTGTTGTCTCATCCCTGATGTTCCCAGGGACCACCAGTGACACCCGGGTGTTCGCTGAAACCTTCCTCCTGCGTTCCTCAACCTGTTTGCTCAGACACGGCTGGGACACCAGGTTTGCCAGCTGACTCCAGCATCGTGCCTTGAGTGACCCGAGCTCAGTAAGATGGATGAGCTGTGGCATGCCCACCCCAGTGCCAGCTGATGGCTCTAAAAGTCAAAGCACATCTTCCCATGAATGGCTTGTCATTGCCTGGCAAGGGCGACCCCAGAGACATCGTTGCTGGTGCCCCTCATCCTCGTGTCTTGCACACCAGCAACCCTGGCCATGCCACCAGACACCCAGGCCATGGTGCTTGTGAAGCTGCAGGGAGAGGACACGCGGGGAAAGCATGGCAGGAGTGGGAGAGGGTCAAACCAACCGGCGTCACGTGTTTTGGGGGTAAATGTCACTCTCATCTCCCATAAAATCTTGCACTCACTTCCTACGTGAAGGGCAGGGAGGCTGCATGGTGTTTTGATGGTGTCTATCTAAAAGCATCGTTGATCTGCTGTCCGTGTGTCCTGTCCATCCTGGGCTCCTCTTGAGCAACCCATGTCCCCTTCCTCATCTCTTGAGGATGCAAGTGTGGCTTGGACCAGCACTGTTTGGACTGGTCTAGCAGGGGTGGTTTCTAGGAGAGGAGGGACAGGAGCATGGGCATCACCCCACTGGATCCTGAGGAACACCTCCTGCAGGTTTTGGCAGCGTGGAGCAGCTGGGAGAGGACCCAATCCATGTGCCCATGCATGGCTTCCCTTACACCAACGTGAGCCAGGTGGGGGTGGATCTGGCAGGCAGCCTCTTCATCCCCAAATCTGCCTGCGTGCTTCTGCAAGGAGGGATGGCCTGAGCTCGAGGACATGGATGGCACCAGTCCCAGGTTGTGCAATGGGCTCTGGTCTCCATGTCCAGCCCTGACCCCCGCAGTGGGGCTGTACAGGGACACCAAGCCCCTTCCTCGGTCCCCAGGGCCACATCGGACACACAGCCAGGCTGAAAGCACAGGCTCAGATAAGTTCTGTTCAAAGAAAGGTCTTTATTGGCTTGGACAGGAGGCACTTGGGGCTGTACAGGTCTCGGGGGGACAGGGACATGGTCCTCTCCGAGCTGCTGGTTTCCAGGAGAGGTTCCCAGGCACTGCAGAGCCTTGTCAGCATCAAGACCAGAGCACGTCCCTGCCCGTGGGGCCAGCCCTTGCTGCCTGCTGTCACGACAGATGAGGGCAGAGCTGGGGGTGCAACACCTTGGGACCGTGAGCTTTGGGGGTGTCCCGAGAACTGGGGGTGATGGCTGATTTTTCCTCCACCCCCCACATTGCCCCCATCAGTAAAACACCTTTTCCAGGTAGGTGTTCAGGAACATCCCCGTGGGGTCCAGCTTCTCCCGGACGGAGCAGAATTTGGGGAAGGCTGGGTACATCTTCTCTAAGTCCTTCCGAGTGCAGCTGTGGGCCTGCAGGAGAGAGAGTGCCCAGGAGGGCTGCCCATCACTGGGGAACGTGTTTCTGTCCCTGGACCCCCACCACCACTGTGGGAAGCCCCTGCAGAAGTGGTGGGACCTCCATCCCCTTATCTACGTGCCCAGCGTGGGTGGCAAACAGGGGAACACCATCTCCTCGAGGCACCCATCTCCCTCTGGGACCAGCCCGATGTGGGGGCCCTTCTCTGACCCCCACTCAACTGCAAATCCCCCCTCCCATGATGGAGAAGGGGAAGGGACCCCCTTCCGCAGACCCTCTCCTCCCAGAGCAGCGGGGCCGTCGGTACCTTTGCCCAGTGTGGTCTCCCACCGTGCTTCTTCATGATGCCCTCATAGGTCAGCCAGTAGTTGAGGCGGGGGACGTTCTTCCCGTAGGGCCTGGGGGTGGGTCAGGCAGGGAGGGCATTAGCAGGGGCTGTGGGGGTATTTGCACACCCAGGAAACCTCCCCAAGAAACCCTGACTTGGGGAGAAGGACAACCCCAGGGACCCATCACGGGTTCTTTGACAAGCACCGGGTGATGGAAACCCTCTGGGTACCAGCAAGCTGCCGGTACTTGGCCAGTGGACCCTCATGTAGGACAACATCCTCAAGAAACAGGGGTGGGTGGCTCTGGGGTGCTCCAAGGCCACCCCATCCCTGCTGGCTTGGTGCCTGCAAATGTCTGAGTGGGGTGAGCGGGCAAAGGTGCAGGAGCTTGCTTGATCCAGCTTGCCAGTGCCAGCCAAGAGCTGGTGTCGGTGTGTTTGAGCTGTGCATTTGCTGCTGCTGGGTCTCTGGGCTGGGATCCTGCTGTACCACTGACCCGAGGAGGAAGAGGAGGAGGAGGCGGGGAATGGGGACATGGCTCACCGGTACATGATGATGTTCATGTAGCAGCTGTCTCGCTGGAAGCAGGGACTCAGCCAGATCTCGTCCCCCCGAGCGAAGCGCACCTCCACGGGGTAGTGAGCCACCATCTTGGGGTTGTTCTCCAAGGCAGCCTTCAGCTCCAGCAGAGCTTCCTTCGTCTTCTCACTGCCCAGGAGAAGCCCCCAGCCCCAGTTAATGCCAGCATGGGCACAGCCAGCTCTCTTCGGGTTTGAACCCCCATCCCCACAGCTCCATCCCTGGCCCCATGCTAATTAGGGAATGGCTTGGCATGTCCCAGCACATCCCTCCCATTGCTTTGGGCTCACAAAGCCCCAAGACACGGTGTGGCATGGATTTGGTACCCCAGGTCAGGGATGCAGAAGGCTCCTCATGCTAAGCTTGCAGATAGGAATGGTGTCTCCTAGCCAGGTCCCTTTCTCCACAGCCTTGCTCCTGCTCCAGGCAGCCTGGGCTGGGGCAGAGCACAGGCAGGGGACGGCATGTGGTTTGGGCACTGAGCTCAGCTGGGGATGGACAAGGGAGGGTCTGCAGAGCCATTTACATGGGGATGGCCCAGTCTTGAACGTGCTGCTTGAAGCGACACTCGTAGTTGAAGATCTTGTAGCTGATGGCAATATTCTCCACCCGGGAGCTGAAGAGGAGCCAGAAGAAGAAGCGGTTGATCCAGCACACCAAGCTGGGCATGAAGGTGCTGCAGGGGAGAGAGCAGGAGGTGAGACCTGACCGCAGAGCTGCTGCCCGGGGAATTGCCAAGGGCAGGCTGTGAGCTGTGATGCCACAAACCACAGCCTGAGCGTGCTGGACGAGGGGATACCCTCTCAAGGGGCTGTAAGCAAAGCTGCAATACTCCAAGGGTGCTGGAGCCCATGGGGTCCTGCAGCCCTGCCTGGAGCTTGCCTGTGCTCACTCCACCTGGTCTTGGACCTTGCACCCTTGTCCTCAGCTCCCTCCCCCTCCTCTTGCTGCAAGCTAGAAAAGGGGTGCTCGGTCATCACCTTCCCTCCCCCTCGAGACCTCAGAGCCTCCCAGGCTGGGCACTGGGCATCCGCACGCTGGGGGACCGAGAGCTACTGGGGACAGGGTGGAGTGGCAGGGTGGACCCCTTGGCAGAGTCCTAAGTGGCCACAGTCCCTCTTCTCCCTCTTCATGGTGTCCTGCCTGGCTCTCCTGTCTCCACCCTGGTGCTCAGGACATGCTCACAGCCACCACCCTCCTCCAAAAAGCTCCTTTGCTGCTGCAAACCCGCACTGCTGCTCCATCTCTGTGCACACACGAGGGCAGTGCAGCCCCAGACATCAATCCCAACCCAAACTCGCTCCTCCTGCGCAGGAGCTTGCTTGGAGGAGAACAAGCATCTCCTTCTTCCCCAGGGATGGGGGTGCTCGCAGTCACAGTCCTCTCTTGCCATCTTCCCTGGGACTCCCAGCAAAGCAGCACAGGTTTCGGTGTAGAGATGCAGAGAACAGATCTGGATGAGGCCAGCCCTGGAGAAATCCACCCCACCCTACTTGTCCCCAAACACTGCCCAGACCATGCCCTTACCTGATCCAGAGCAGAAACTCCAGCAAATAGTAGCCAACAGCGTAATCCCACCACCAGCTGGCAGAGGAAGAGGGGGGCTGCAAAGCCAAGCAGAGGAAGATGATGGTCATTAGGGACTAGCAGGGTTTGCAGCTTTCTTGCCAGCGGGCATGAAGGTGGGAGCACGTGCCTGGACCAGGACCAAGCTGGGAGCGGGGGTTTGGAGAAGGGCACCCCGGGACTCCCCATATCTCTCTCCCGTGATGAAAAAGAGCCAAATCCAGTGCCCAGGAAGAGACCAGGCTTTGTCATGAGGATGCTGAGAGCTTGGACAGCCCCAGCTGCATCCATGTCCCGGGACACCCAGACCGTGGAGCATGGGGCAGAGTCCAGCCCAGCCCCAAAATGCCGTTTCCCTGATCAGCCCCCCCCAGCAGCCCTTGCACTGCAAGTCCATCCTAAACACCGGCTCTCGGAGGACACTCAGTTTTGTGCACGGGCCCTTCTCCCTTCCCACATGGAGCCTGCTGGGACCTGCCTTGTTGGTGGGATCCTGGTAGATGACGCTGACGTTCTCGCTGTGAGGGAACCACAGGAATCGGAAATATTGAGATCTCTGCAGGTGGTCATTGAGGTGATCGAGGACCTGCAACAACCAGAGAAATGGGTGCTGGTTGGTGACTGAACCCCACCATGGAGCAGGGATCCTGGGAGCAGGGTTTGGAGGCACCTTGGAGGATTCCCAGGAATGCCAGGGAAGGTCCAAGGAGTCTGTCTGCAGAGTCTTGGCAAGTTTTGGGTTGGAGGGGGGTCAATACAGCCCAACCAAGCACCAAGGGGCTAATAGAGACCATGGACCCAACATCTGGGGAACCGAGCATGCTCATCATCTCCTCTCCCTCGGCCGTGGCAGACCCCCACGTCCTGCAGATGCTGCTGGGGCTGCATCTGGCACACACACAAGCTCAGACCCTGCATCCTCCTGCAATCACACCTCTGCAGCCCCCAAACTGTCCCTTCAGGCATTCCCAGACATAAGGCAGCACAGCCAGGGCTGGAAGGGCCCCCTCCAGCCATCAGCCATACAGTAGGGCATGCCAGGGGCTACCGAAATCCACCTCCTGGTCCAACACCAAGGATGCCCTTCCCAGCTTTCACACCCTGGCAACACAACCCTCTGCAGCTCTGGAGCCCCAGGGAAACAGGGGTTGGAGCTGGGATGTAACAGGGGATGGAGCGGGCAGGGGACAGGCAGAACAATGCAGGTAATGAGGCTCGAGGGGGTGACTGCAGCCTGTTCCCAGAGCCACTGGACTCTTATTCTTGGGCTACTTGGAAGAAACCCTGCTGCCTGACACAGCAGCACCCACAGAAATTAAAAGACCTTTCAGCCCTTGTCCCTTCTCCCTGCCTGTGCATGCAAGGGTGGCAAGAACCTGTGTTCACCTCCTGCATGGTGCTGTTTTGGCCAGGCCAGCACCTCTCCCTCCTGCAAACATCTTCTCCAACCACCCCCTGCTCCTCCTGCAGAGATCTCCCATAGTTTTGCAGAAAAGCTTAAAAACCCAGCAGCTTTGCTTCAAGGAGTTTGCTTGACCCAGGAGAAGGTGCAATGACCCATGGATATAACCCCAGGAAGGTCTTGGCAACCTTAGCTGCAAAGCTGCTCCTTTCTGTCTGTGCCATTTGAATGATTTGTCTTAATGAGCTATTAATCACCAAGCTGGGCTGCTTTAGCACTGAGCATCTTGCTGTGACCCCGCTATAAGGTGAGGGTCTTCGTGGGGCCGCACTGCTGTAATGCCACGGTCCCGTTAAAGCAGGGAGGATGGGAAGATGAATACTGTATTCCTGTAATTGGTAAGAAATAACGCTAATGCTGTTGCCTTCATCACCACATCTGCAAGCTCCCAAAAAGCCACAAAATCTCTCTAAAATGTTCCCAAAACAGCCTACTTTCTGGCCAGAGAAGTTCTTATGTTGGAAACAGTTAACGGTTGTGCAAGTAGAAGCAGGGCAAAAGCTACGACCCCACATTTTCATCGGTTTGGTTTAGGAACAAATTAATCGAGAAGCTAAAACAAGTGAGGAAAAGAAGGATGCAGCTTTCCCAAGGTGATCCTGCCAACGTCTGTTTGTCTTCCAGCCGCGGCGTTTGAGCGCAGAAGCAAATTGGTAGTGGGGTGACCTTTTCAATGTGCGCTTTTGATTCTTGTGATATCGGTCTGAAGAAAATAAGCCTGCGACTTTGTAGGATAATTACAGCGCAGCGGGCAAGAGCTGAAGGCAGCGAGCGAGCCGGCTTCGGGAGTCCTTGGAGACGTCGTCGGCTGGCTGAGTGCCGGAGTCGGAGGCAGAGGTCGGGCAGTGGAAATCTTGTCACTGTAATGTGACCAATGCACACAATGGAGATGACCCTGGAGCCTGCAGAGACCCAGGGGATTTTGCTCGTCTTCGTTTCCCTCCCAGGAGCCCAGAACAAATCCCTTTGGTTCACAAAGGCCGGGTCAAAAGAAGCCGCTTGCTTTCTTGCTTACAAACACCCTCGAGAGCTCATTGAGCTGAGGGTCAGGCACCCCGCCTGCTGCAATGCAGGTCTGGTTGCTCCAGATGGTTTTCAGGGAAAGGACAAGGATGGGGCAAGCAGCAGATGTGGCCAAGGTGCTGCGGAGGACGAAGCACAAGAAGTTACTAGCACATGTCCTGTAGGTCTGCCTGAGCAATGAAGGGGAGCCAGGGAGCAGGGGGAGCTCGCGTTTTGGGGGAGGAGATGGATGCTCAGCCTCCCCCTGTGCCTGCGTGCTGCCTGCGCCTGGCAGGGTCCTACCGCGTCCGGGTACGGTGTCCGAGCCCTGGTTGGAAGAGTCGCTTCCATTCACTGACACCAAAACCAACATTTCTGGCTAAGAGGGATGAGGTCAGGCCCAGCAATGGAGAGAGGGTTAAGGCAATGGGCGGTCTTGGGGGAGTTGAGCTGGAGGGATCCGTCCCAGGTGCCTGAGACATCCCCCAAAGGGTTAGAGTTAGGGTTAGGATTAGGGTTAGGGTTAGGATTAGGCAGTGGTAGGCTCAGACCAAAAAAGCTCTTCTTCACCCACCAGGTCGCTAAGCTGTGCAAGTCTGCAGGTGGCTAAAAGTTTGCATGGGTTCAGAAGCAGATCAGAGACCTTCCAGAAGAGAAACTCATTGCCTTATTACATATATACAAACTGCCTCCAGCTCAGGAAGCCCCAAAGCTGCAAAGACCTGGGGAAGAAGTATCGTATCTGAGTCTGACCCATCCTCATCAGCCTCCCAGCAGGTCTGGGACAAGGGAAGGACGACTCCATCCCTGCCACCACCCAGGGATGCTCTGCAGGTCTCTCTGGTGACCTCAGCTGTGCAATGAACCCTCTCAGTCCCGTGCCTTGATCCTGGTCATTGTCAGCAGCTAGAGCAGCTGAGTTTATCCCAGTGATAAAGATAATCACGAGGCCAGAAAAGAAAGCATGCAGATCTTACATAACCACAAATCCAAGCCTGGGTCCTCTGACACATATATTATTTGCAATGTCTTAGATAACTCAGGCTTAAATATTTCAAGCAACCTGCTCCCTTGCCATTATTCTCTTCCGCCTCGCTGGGCCACTCGACATGAAAGCTGGAGATCTGGAAGCAGGCGAGGAGCAGCGATGACCGAGAATTGATAATGGCATTAATATTTATAGAGTGCATTCTTGTTTCACCCTCCTAACAGCCCCAAGGGACCTGGGGAAAGATGGGCTGAGCTGTGCAGGGGGCATAGCCCGGGCAGATGATGCTCAGCAAGGTAAAGCTCAACCTGGGCTACCTGCCCTGCTCAGGATAGCAGGGTTATCCCGCACGTGAGCTTAAGTTTCCTAGCTAAAAGGCAGATTAGGAGGTGTAAAACAACGCTCAACCTAGCAATTTGGCTGAGGAAAGGTGCTAGAAGATGCAGTGAAGGTCCGAGCAGGCTGGCAGGGTGGGTGAGGACCAAGCCGTAAGGAGCTGGCAGGCTCCCACCACATTTAAACATACTAAAGATGCATTTAAAGCAGGGAACTCCCTGCTGCAGGACACCAGGGAAGTCACAGCTCAGAAAGCAAACAGGCAATTCACAGGCAAAAAATACATCTGAGCCATTAGACACAAACTCATCACCTCTGCAACTGGAAACACCAGTAATGAACTCACTGCATGCTGCAGAAATACCTTGGTGGGTTCCCCCTATTCCTCTGTCTTCTCTTCCTACCTCCCAGGAAAAATAAGACCCTGAAGTGCACCAGCTCTCACTGCTCTGGTGCAGCTGCTCTTAGGGGGGTGACAGCAGGCAGGCAAACACGTTAATGACTCAGGTAATGTCCACGGACCTCTCTGTCCACCTCCTCAGACAGCCCCACCACCCATGGCATGGCACAAGGACCACTGGGTTGCTTCAGATCAGGGCTTGCAAAGAAGATACTGCAAAAGTGCGTTAAATTCACGTTCCTGGTGGTGTTCAAGCCACCCCAACGGGGCTCTGAATAATTCAGTCCTTAAAAAATTAAGGACAGTGTTTCTCAGAGCTTTACTAGTGCTGCAGCTCTGATCAATCCTGCAACAAATTTTGCTGCTTTTGTCCAAGGACTATTTATTTTTCATGAGCCTGACTTAACGAAGGCTTGTGCTGTCGTTAGCCAGGGCTGGAACTGGACCTGTGAGACCCAAATGAGAGAATGGATGAGGATGCACCAGCAGGGACGTCAGACCTCACAGGAGGACAAATACGATTGCGGTTGAAGCAGATCCAAGCTCCTGGAGAGCTTCCTTTCCACCGCCACTGGTTTATTCCTCCTGGTAGACTTTCTGCCTCAGTTTCCCCATCCAGAAATCTAACTCCTTCCAGTGACCGCAGCGAGTCCACACAGCATTTGGGAGGCCACCAGGTCTTTCAACTTGCAGGTGGCCCCTTCTCTGTAGGCTTTAGCCTGTGCAATGCTGCAGCCTGCAGCAACGATCTGGTGCCAGAGAGCTGGAACAAGCTGGATGATTGCTCAGCTCAAGGCGGTAGGTCACATCCTGATACAGCAGCTGTGCCAGGATGTCCCAGCCATGATGGGGCTGGGCACCAGATGGAACAGATCGCTCCATCCGACTTCCCAGCACCGTGAGGGTGGGAGGGCTCCAAGGAAATGCATCCAGCAGTTAAAAGGAGTTTATATAATGGCAGAGACAGGGAAAGTCGGTTTTGATGTGTTCCCAGGAGGAAGAATTCCTTCAAATCACTCTGTAGAAATGCCCACTGGGCCTTCAAAATGCTTTCTGAGGGAACCAGATCACACCCACCATTGGCCACAGAGCCACGTGGAGACCCAAGCTCGCAAAGCCCAGGAGATGCACTGCCCCAAAAAAGGGCACTTCATGATTCTTTCGAGGGAAATCAGCCTGTTTCAGCCTGGCTCCTGCTGGGAATGGGAAGCTCGGCTGGAGGAAACCACTCTCCAGCACTGAGCATCTCTGTACCAGCACCCCCGAACACTGTACCCAGTGCCTCAGCCACGTGCTGAACAAGGACCTAAACTCCTCATGCTCTCCATGGTCAGCTAAGTGCCCTTTCATAGGCTACATGCAAGATGTTGTCTTCAGGAGGGATATGGCCAAGAAGAGGGGACAACAGGGAGAGGATGGATGGTGGGACAGCAGAACTTGCCAAGAAGGAGACAGCGTGTGAACCGTTCAGAGCCTTGCAAGATCCTAATCTATGAGAGAGCCGGTCGGAAACCCTCCTCAGAAAGCCATCCTCCCTTGGGGATGTCCCAGGTGGGTCAGTTACTGGCACCATACACCTTAGTCTGGGTGATACGGACCTCTGGCAAGACGGAGACAGACAAGTCCAGTAGCAACACAACAATTGGTTTAAAGAGAGTTTTCCGTCACACGACCCAAGTGCAGCTCTGGGGTTGGATCCTTATAAGGGATTTGCTCTGTCTGCCCCTTGAAATGTGTCACCCATCACACTCCTTCTCATCCCCAGCACGGTTTGTCGCAAGTTCAGCTCAAAGAAAAAAAAAAGAGTTACACCCAACCTGCACGCTGGGAGATGGAGAGCCCCATCCCGAAAACATACCCTGACCTCACACAGAAGAAGGGACCAAGTTCTTTTCAAGAGCACAAGATGCTCATGGACTATTTTAAGTGGCCCATCTGTCGCTGGAAAAAGCAAGGCTGTCCGTTAGCCGAGCAGCAGGACTCGACGAGATGGGAGACGGCACTTCCTCGGAGAGCGCACGGCTCGTGGGAGCAGCCATGCCCTGCGGGATGCTGCTCCTCTCCTGCGGGACCCAGCTAGGCACTGCCTGCCTCCAGGGATGCTGGCTCAGCGCAGGCACAGTCTTCTCCCTGTTCTTGCTTAGTCCAGGCAGCGCGACAGCTCATCAGACCAGACCAGGATTTCCAGCAAGGGTAATTTTCTCCAGCTGGAACATTAAATCTGCATTAGGCTTAGTCATGTGTGCCTGGAGTTACCAGATCTCCTCTGACCTGCCAGCGCCTGCGAACGCTGGGTTAAACGCAGCAGAGGCGTTGGCAGATCCATCTCACGGTGACGTTTCCCGAGGACAGAAGCAAGTGCCGAAGGCGGCAGCGCTGACGCCGGCGGGCTCCTTCAGCCTCTCTAATTTGATTGTGCTGGAGCCTCCACGCTCAGCCCCGCCGCGGCTTGGAGGCGGCCCAGGGAAGATGAAGCTGATGGCTACGGGCAAACCTCCATCCCTGCTCCGGTGGGACCGCTGGCATCGCACAGCCTGAAGCAGCTCCCCACCGCTGCGGCTGCCCTTCCTCTCGCTGATCCCCACCTGCAGCGAGGCTCAGGCATTGCTCACGCGACGGGGGAATAGTTTAAAACCCACGGGGTTGTACATGAGGGGTAGACCACAGCTGGAGGAGGGGGTCCTGTTTCCGTCACCCCCGGGCTGAGTCAGGCAGGGGACAATTGATGCTGAGAAGTGAGGACGATGCTGCAGAGAGGCCGGGACACGGGGACATTGACAGGGGTCTCATTGTCCAGACTTTTCCCTAAAGAGGGAACTGCCTCTTCTTGCAGCCCAGCCAGGAGATCTCTCCCAAGCAGGCTTCCCAGATTTTGTGGCCAGCAAAGCTGCCAGAGCACACTCAGCCCTCGCCTCTGGCTCAGCTTGCAACCACGCGAGGGGCTGCACCTCCAACCCTGCTTTGCTCCTGAACATCAACTGCACCATGCAATGCATGTCTTGCGGCAGGTCCTGACCACCCACCTGCCCTACGCGGCGCAGAGGTGGCATTCACGAGTACCTCTCCTCCCCACCCCACTACCTGCACTTCTCCACTCCCAGAAGATGCTCTTCCCACCCATGGGAAGTTAAAATGGCATTTGCTAAGAAACATGGCTTTTCCTTCCTCTCCTTTGTCACCCGGGAGGTGTTTCCAGCTTCAAGGACACCATGAAGCACACCGTGAAGATGCATAAGGAGTGCAACCTACACACGTGTGGGATTTTCTATCGGAGCGCGACCACTTCCCAGTCTTCCCCCAACCGTGTCACCTCACCAAGAGCTTTGCTTATCCCCAAGGAAGCTTCAAAAGCATCGCCCACATCGTACCTCAGTGAGGGTGGAGGGGAAGGCCACCTCGTGCAAGTGGAACTGGGGCACGCACTGGAAGGTGACCGTGAGCACGACGCCCAGGCAGCCGAGGTGCAGGCGGGCAGCCTGGAAGATGTCCGCGTTGATGGACTCGGAGCACTCCAGGATCTCCCCCGAGGCTGTCAGCAGTGTGAGTGCTACGACCTGCCGAGAAGGGAGCAAAGCTTCAGCGAGCGTTCAGGGTGTCCCAGGTCCATGCCAAGAACCTTCATCCACCCCAAAACTTTGGGTTGGGGGCTAAGCAGGGAGACCCCTGTACCACGACCATCATCACAGGGTGCTTTCTGCTGAGCTTGGCTCCACCAGCCCCTCTCCTGCCACCTTTGATGTAGTGACATAAAAGGATCCTTCTCTCTCTGGGGGTTGCTAGGAAAAGCCGTCAAATAAAGAAGTAAAACTCCCCCAAATTACTGCACTTTTCCATAACCATCAGTGGAATTGTCATACAGGATTTGAGCTAGGAGTGGAGGATTTTCATAAGTGTCTAGTTAAAAATAGACCAGGTCCTGCAGAGATTTGGGGTTTGGGGGGCTCCAATACAAGAAGAACTGCTTTCCCTTTGGTACAGTGCTTATTCATTAGATTATAAAACCATAAAGCACAGGGACAGAGCAGTTTTGATCTGGATTATGTTTCAGCTGGCAGATGAAGTAGGTCCCATAGCAGCTCCATCCCGGGGGCACAGGACCCCTCCTGCTTGCAGTGTCCTTACCCCAGGGCTGGGCACACCAGACCTGGACTGGGTGATGGGACATCTCCCCTGAAGCCCTCAAGATGCTGATGTCCATGCATTGACACTCTCTCAACTCGCATCTCACCTGGGTGGGGAGGATGCCGTGCTTGATCCCAGTGTTGTGCGTCCCTGTCCCGATCACACCAGCCGCTGCCACCTCAGAAACGGCTCCTAAGCTGGGGGCAGACAAAGGGGCTGGATGAGGACCTCAGTGCGTGGGACACGGCGTGGGGCACAGCCCCCCGTGCCAGGCATTACACCACGTGCGGACCCTTCACAGAGACCACCAGGACATGCCCCCCTACTCCAAGGAGCAGGGTTTTCCACCCTTCAGGGCATCCTGCAGCTACAGGTGGGTTTGTTGGCCCTGTGTGCATGTCTCCATGGGACATATCTATCAGGATGCTGCTAGAGTCCATGGGGAGGAAGAGGCAGCCGGTGAACGCAGGTCACCGCGGTCAACTCAGCTGTGTCCCATCTCACAAGTCCCCATCTCTCCTCATGAGCCTGGAGGGACTCAATGGGATGGAGACATCCCTCCCATATGTAGTCAGAGCATGGGGTGAGGAACCGGGTTTACCCCAGAAACATCACTGTGGAGCAGGGCTGGAAGGAGCATCCACAAGTATAAGGTCTGCAGACCAAGGTCCGTCCCTGCAACCATGGCCAAGGCGGGCACAGGGGGATGGTAGAAGGTTAAAGCAAACAGGGTGCTGTTACTGCCATTTCCCCCAAACACTCCTCCAGCTTCCAACAGCTGGGGAGCAGGGAAGTCCTGAACCAGACATGGTTTCTGTGATCATTGCAACCCTCGGTGGATTCCTCCTCCATGAAGGAGTCCTGCTCCATTGGCCATCTGCTCCGGTGGGGCTCATTTCTCTGAACCCTCACCCCAGCCCTGGCTGGGGCTCTGCCAAACTCATCGCTTTTATCAACAGAGGAACATGGCTATTGAGGTAGACTGTAATTAAAGAGCAATTTCTTCTCTGAGGTCAGCAAGTGAAAGAGATTGAGTGTGAGAAATGCTCTTCTCCATGGCTATTTCCTTTGCAAACCCCTGTCTGAACATGGGGCCCTCCAAGCCCTTGACAAGACACCCACCGCAAAGGAGAACCACATGTGCTGGAGGCAGAGGGATCAGCCATGAGCAGCTCGAAGCGTCCCACCCTCTCCCTGCAATTGCCCTGGACCCCCCAGCCCATCACTCCCACCTCCTCCTCTGGGGACAGCAGACATCTCAAAGCAATGCAGAGCAAGGACTCTCCCATGCCTCCTGCTAAGATATCCCAATGGCTAACTGCCTTTTGCCATCAAAACCTCATTTCTAGCCTAATTTTGTGCAACATCGGCCTCCTTTGCCCAGAGCTGCCTGCTGTCAGCCTCCCTCGGAGAGATGCTCTCATCTTTTTGGGGCCAGGGAGTGCAGAGTTTTCCTTCGTGACATGGAAAGGACCAGCCTGGTAGGTACAGCGAGAATATAGGACTGGTGTGGGGATAAAGGCTCCCCTTGTCCAGTCTCCTGCTCCAAGGCAGGATTGGCTACTCCACTGTGGAGGGGGTTGACCTGCAGTCTGAAGGACCCTGGTGGAAGACCAGATCCTGAAGCAAACACCCCTATTCTGCAGTAAAAGCTCTTCAAACATCCCTGTTTTGCCGTGTCCCAGCACTTGGTCTGGGACAAGGACAGACACCTGGGAGGATGCCCAGGGATGGCCCCGCACACGTGTCATACTCACTTGGCCAGGGCCAGCCCGTGCTTGCTCAGCTCGATGTTCAGATCCGAGAGGAAAATCCCACCTTCCACCGTCACTTGCTGCTTCTCCTTGTCCACCTGTGAAGGATGGGATGGGAGAGGGGAAGGTCACACAGCTCGGAGGAGAAACACCCCATGGAAAACACCTCGGCTTTTACCAACGCAGAGTTGATAACATCTGTACAGGAGAGTCACGTACCACGAGGGACTTGCTCCATCCTGACCTGCCACCTCTCTCAGACCTTCACCCAACCCAAATCTCGTCCAACCCAGTGGTACCACTGGTTCCTGCCCCTGGTCCAGACCCTGCTCCCCTCGCTCTCCCCAGTCTCAAGGCTGTGTAACCTCTCCCATAACTGCTCCCTGGTGTTGGTCAATGCAAGGGAGAAGACACTCCCCAGCAAAGCTCTACCTTCAGCAAACCTCTTCACTCTGCCCTCCTGCCTTGCTCAGCCAGCTCCAGCCAGCTCCTGGTGGAAGGAGAGGTTGTTACCATTGGGAGCTATGCATCCTGCTTCTGACAGACAGAGCTGTCAGGGAGAGAGCTGTTCCTTAATTAATTATTGCTGTTAATTACCAGTATGATCCAGCTCTCGGAATCTGCTGCTAGAGTCAGGGTTTTTTCACCTTCAGCTGCAGACCTACACACACATGCACACATACAGAAACACACATGCATATATATATATATATGCACAAATGCATGCATGCGCACACAACAGGCATGCACACACACACGTGCATGCACACACATACATGTGCATGCACACACAACACACAGGCGTGCACATGTGCACAGAGTCAGTTCTCTCACTGTTTATAACCAGCCAGCCGTGCAGGCCCAGTAAGAGCCCGGTATCTCCCTACACGCCGGAGGTCTGGATGCAAAGCAAAGGGCAGGAAAACCTCTCCCTCCCAGCAGCTCTCATCTTCCCAAAGTTGTTCAGGATATGATCCACAGGCAACCAGGAAGAGCTGTTTCCTTCCCAGTGTCATCAAAAGGAGCAATCTCCCACGGGGACATTTCCCACCTGATGCAGGAACAAACCACGGACCACGAACCTCCAGCCAGGTTTTTGCCAGGCTGCTGTGCCTAAGGCACCTTTGCAAGCTCGCATCAAGCGAGCCGCGAAAAGAGATCCTGCCAGGTACCTCCTCCCCAGCCAGCAGACCGTGCTGGGATGAGGACAACATGCCAAGGTTAAGCCCTCGCTGAACGCACACTGGGAAGACATCACTGCTTTGCATTTTTATAGCTGCTCCACATGCTTCCAGTGCACAAAGGATGCTTTTATACCAGGAAAATGTGCATTGCCCAGTCTTGCACCAGCGTTTCAGGGGCTAGGTTGGGAAAACTCCTGGCTGTGAGGAGAGGAAAGCCTCTCCATCCTTTCACCTCCCACCCTGGGTATGGCAGCGTCGGCGCAATGCCTCCCAGCCCTCGGTGGTCGCACAAACAGGGGTGCCACCACATTTCAGGGCCACCGCGCCACCTCCCAGAAGCCGGTCTCACCTTGAGGACCCTGTTCATCTTCCCCATCTGGATCATGAAGTCATCGGTGCAGGCGATGTCCGAAGGAGAGTGACCACCCCCCACCACCTTCACCCTCTTGTCACGCTGCCTGGCCATATCCAGGATCTGCAGAGACAACAGGCGGCCCTGAGCATCCAGCATCTCCCTCAAAGCCGTGTGCTCAGGGCGGTGGCAGAGGCTCTGTGAGACATCCCAAGCTAAAACCTCACCCATGGCTGACATCCATTTACTTGGATAACTCATCATCTGGAGTTAAAACCACCCCTGGAGCCCAGACACCTCCTAAGACAGCCCTTGGCATCATCTGTGGGGGTTGGACTAGATGACCTTTAAAGGTTTCTTCCAACCCAAACCATTCTATGATTCTGTGGTCCCAAAAGAGGCGATGCCCACCTGGGACACTCTAGGGTGGCAGAGGCATCTCTGGGGTGGCAAAAGTGACAGAGGACTCCCACCCCTCAGCATGGCAGCTGGGACAGGCAGGGGACCCCAGAAGGATGCCAGATGCTGATGCCCAAGGAACAGAGTCCAGCTGGGGACAGGCATGCCAGTTTTCTGCATCTTTTAGGTGTTTGACACACCTGCTGCAGAACACGTGCAGTTCAGCGGGATGGGCCATCTCCTGGGGCTAGGGGAAGGACTCATGCTGTCACCAACTGCGACCTCTCTGGATGAACATGATGGAACATCACAGCCCTTCCTGGCCTTTCCTCCTCTTCATTTCTAATGGGTGGTCTCCTGGAAGCACCTTCCTTACCTCCCGGATCTCCTCCACTGAGGTGGGCTGGAAGTACAGCTCTGGAGAGGAGCCATAGGTCTTGGCCCAGTTCTGGAACTTGAATCCTCCTTGGCCATGAACCTGGACCAAAACCAAGAGCTAAAGCAGAAGAAAGCAAGTGCCTCCCCTGCTCTTCCACACAGCCCATCCTTCATCTGCCAAGACCACTGTACCAGAACCAGGTTTCCCAAAAGATTAATTATTTATGGACAGAGAGGTTCATCTCAACCCCTTGAGTCCATAGAGCAGAATGCCTCCATGTGAGCAAGTCAGCCGGGGCTCCCTTTGCAGTCAGTGAGGAGAAATGGGAGGACGCTCTGGGCTGTTTGAGACATCTCCCTTGAGCGCAGCCCATCCCTTCCTCCTACAGCACGACGTGTGCTGGGCTTCTCTTGGTTTGCACGGCCTCTTCTGCTGTGGTCTCCTCTCAGACCTGGTCTCAGCACCCATACCTACCTCGTGGCCCATGGGCATGGCCTCATGCCCCAGTGTCCCCAGATGGCCTCATCATGAGGGTCTGACTGGCACCAGGCTGGGACCTCCCTCCAACCTCAGCCATCCACCCTGAGACACTGTCCCCAGGCCTGGCATGAAGGGGTGCGGCCAAAAGACCCATCCCCTCTCCCAGCAGGGGTTAACCCAAGGCAGGACATCCCCAGGGTGGTGTGGATGGGTTCTGGCTGGGGGGATCAGTTTCCCCCCCTGGCCACGGTCAACCCAACTGGGGCTTGGGCAAGGAAGGACCTGGTGTGGGGTTGGGCACCAAGCCCCAGGGAAGATGATGAATCCCCCTGGTCCCGCAGGACTGGATCCAATGTGCTGCCCCACCAACACAGCACTTGTCCCACCTTGGCTGCAGGGGATGATTTATTCCCTTGCCACCTCCCGCAGTCTCCTTCCTCCCGTGCCCTCCAGCCTCCTCTCCATCAGCAAACCCTCCGCCTTCCACCTTCCCACCCAGGTTCCCTCCTCTGCCCTCAGCTGATTTTCCTTCTCCTCGTCTCTATGATGGGTTCAGCTCCCATCCAAAGAGCAGACCCCCCCCAAACTGGCCAAACTTCTCCAGGGGTGCAGAAGGGGCTCTCCCAGGGGTGTCTGCAGCATCCTCCCCCCCC